CATATAAGCATTCAGTTTAATTTCAGAGCCAGTGTTTTTCTAATATCTGCATGCAAACTTTTAATGTAGGTGCCCCAAAACAACTGCATTTTGGCCATTTCTAAGTTGATATTTTCTAGTTAAATCTTCCCGTTTCTGTAAAGCACTTGCAAGTAAGGCTTCCTATCAGGAATATTAAATGAGGGCTGGGGTTTGGAGGCACAATTTCACATGTTAATTTTATATATATATATATAGTCTGAGCAAACTTTCTAGATATATTATGTAGTGGGTTAAGTGTGCTCCCGTATCTCTCTCGGCTGTCTAATAAAACAGGAAGACTTCGGGCCAAGCCTTATGGTTGCCCCATAGATGAACCAGTTAGTTAATTACAGGTGAGTTGGGCATTCCCTCTGGGGCTCTTGCACCTAAGATTAACTAGAATCAGACTGGAGGATGTGCCCCTATCTCTTATGAGCTGATGAGTTCAGCTCATTTATACAGGGAAGGTTTTTTGCTCAGAATTAAAGAAAGCAATTGCAATTAAAAAGCCAAAATCAAAACCACCCACCCATTTTTTTTCTCTCCAGTTCTGCCTTAGCCTGAGTTCTGTTAACCCTTAACCTGGGTTCTGTCAACCCATAACCTTGATTCCACATCAAGGATTTTAAGACACAGCTCAAATAAAATCAGACCCTCAACCAAAAGAAGGGGAGGTCCTGAATCCAAGAGACAACTCACCCAGGTTCACCCAATGGCAGGGAACTAGCCTGCTCAATGGGCCCTTTGCTGGATCCTAGAACCAAGTTCGGGTCTGCTGGAAGGTCCTGGGTGAGCTTCTTTGGAATCCTATTGCAAATATGCCAACTAATGTTAACACAAAAACATCCAAACCTGTAAAGAACTTGTATGAGTTTATTTAAGCTAAAATGTTGACAATTGCCAAGAAACCGTATCTTAACAAATTGAGAATGATCCAGAGAATAGCGGTTTTTTCATCTATTTTTTTAATAAGTTTTTATTGTTCATATTATTAAAAATATTCCTTCCCCCCCCCCTCCATTGCTCTCCTCCACCAGGTTCCCACCCCATCCTCTGCCCTTTCCCCACCCCACATTGTCGTCATCCATAGGTGCACAGTCTATGTTCAGTCTCTTCCTATATCCCCCTCTCCCCTTTTCCCCTAGAATCGTCAGTTCACTCCCTTCCACACCTCTGATTCTATTATATTCAACAATTAATATTGTTCATCAGATTTTTTTTAATTTCCTTAGTTTTTAGATTCACCTGTTGATAGTTACATATTTGTTGTTCATGATTTTTATCTTTATTTACTTTCTCTTCTGAAAGAACCCCCTTCAGCAATTCATATAATTCTGGTTTGGTGGTGATGAACTCCTTTAGCTTTTTTTTTATTAGTGAAGCTCTTTATCTGACCTTTGATTCTGAGTGATAGCTTTGCTGGGTAGATTATCTTTGGCTGTAGGTTCTTACTATTCATCACCTTGAATATTCCCATCTGGCCTGCATGGTTTCTGTTGAGAAATCAGCTGACAATCGTATAGCTGCTCCTTTATAGGTAACTACCTGCTTTTCTCTTGCTGCTTTTAATATTCTCTCTTTGTCTTTTGCTCTTGGAATTTTAATTATGATTTATCTTGGTGTGGTCCTCTTTGGATTCCTTTTGTTTGGAGTTCTGTGCACTTCCTGGACTTGTAAGTCTAATTCTTTCACCAGGTGGGGGAATTTCTGTCACTATTTCTTTCAGTATGTTTTTGATATCTTGCTCTCTCTCATCTTCTGAGACCCCCATAATTCTGATGTTGGTTCGCTTGAAGTTGTCCCAGAGGTTTCTTACATTATCTTCAATTTTCTGGATTCTCTTGCCTTCTAGCTTCTGTGGAGGAGTGTCTTCTGGCTCTTTATGTTCCAAATCTTTGACTTGATTCTTGCAATCTTCCATTCTGTTTTTAGGACTCTGTATAATATATTTTATTTTAGACAATGTATTCTTTATTTCTTGTTGATCCCTTATCATTTCTTGTTGATTCCTTATTAATTCTAGTTGATCCCTTTTCATATCCTCATAGGTCTTATCAATCTTTTCTAGGAAATTCTTGAAAAACCTTATAAGCATAGATTTGAACTCTATATCCAGTCGCTTTTTGTCCTCCATTTTTTCGTTTGTGATCTATTTCGTCTTGGCATTTTTGCAGCTTCCCTGATGAGGCAGGGTTTCAGGGTGGAGCCTACAGCTTTGGCTTCCATCAGCCACTCCCTATGCAGCTCCTAAGTCTCAGGGTCCTTCAGTACTCATTGCAAGTGCCTCTGAGAGAAAGGTGCCCTTGTTTTTCCCCTGCTACCAAACAGTCTAGGCTCTCCCCCAATGAGCCCGGTATTTGAGTTCAGTTCAGTTGGAAGTGGAATTGGAGGTGGCGTTCATAGCAGTCTGGAGCCCCTGTCTCTTTCCTGCCAGGACAATCCCGTGGCACAGCCAACCGTCCCTTCTCTGCGCGCTATGTGCACGCCTCTGGGACCTCCTTTCACAGTTCCCCCGGGGATCCGCCTTACAGCCCAGCTCCCTCTGTTTGAGCCTGGGTCCCCAGGGTCTGGCCTAGAACTGGGGTTCAGAGCAGTTGGAACTGGGGCCCAGCACAGTCGGAGCTTTTATCTCCTTCCTGCTAGGGAACGCGGAGAGGACAGAGCCAGAGACTCCCTCCTCTCTGGCTCTGTCCTCTCCGCGCGCCACATATCTCCGTACCTTAGGCTTTTACAGCTCCTCCGCTCTTCCTTCTGGTTTTCTCCTTGCTTCTCATTGTAGAATTGCCAGTCATTTAACTTTCCTATAGTTCTGGGTAATGTCCATTTTATATTTTAGTTGTATTTTATTGAAATTGTTGTGTGCGGCTGCGGCTAGGTGTTTACCTGTACAGCCATCTTGGATTCTCCTTTTTCATCTATTTTTATACATATCAACACAGGAGGGGACCTAGCTGGGTTACACGAAATCTATTGATGAAAGATTAGAGAGGCAGGAGAAAGCAAAGTGGAGAAACCTCTGATTGGATAAAAACTAAAATGATAGACACGTACTTAGATAGGTGCAGCATAGTTAACAATCAATGATGAACGTGATAACAATAACAATGAAGGAATTTGTGGTATCTGTCCTGGAACCCAGGCACATTAGGTTGTGCCCCAAGGGGTCTGGGAAAAGGGAAATTAAAAGTTACCCAAACATTTCAAGGATATGTCATCACAGATAAAAAAAATTAGATAGAAAAAATCAGTTAAGATAACAGTTGACCTATCAGTGAAGAAACCAACCTAGGATGTAACTACCCACCATAACTCCTACCCACCATAACTCCTAAAGTTTCATTTCAGACCATTCTTTGTGGTTATTTTAGGGCTCTGAGTTTGCAAGACCGCCATTCGGGCCTTCCCTGAGCTTGTCAGGTTAGCATGTGGCCCCTTTCATTCACATGAGTTCATCAGGACTTAAAGACCCTTCCTATGCACAGGAGATGGGGAGTGGAGTCTCATTTTGGCTGGGCATCCACTACAGCTGGGCAGTTGCCCAAGCAGCTTTTCTAAAATATCTCATGGGCATTTAAATCTTTAGAAAGTGCCATTGACAATGCCATGTAAAACCGGATGGCATCCCTGTGAAAAGAATTTCTGATGTCCACCCAGGCTTTTACTCTGTAGATAAGAGGCAAATGGGAATGAGAGAAGGCAGTGGGAAGGCCACTGTGCACTCCACATAGAGCTGTGGGAAACACCCTGGATACTTACACCCCACTCTTCTGCTTATTCAATTGTGAGAGCTGGAGTTAGCTCAACTCAGGTACTTAATGTTCAGCTAAAAGAAGAATTCAGAGTCAAGAATTCAAATTATAACAAAGAGTTTATTTAGAAAGTCACAGAGTTAGAAGTGAGTTGTAGAAGAAATGGGCTCAGGAAACTAGTTACTAGAGCAAAAGAAGGACCCATGGAGCTTAGGAGAAAGAACAAATATAAGTGCCTTGAGGAAAGAAGAAGTGGGGACAAGCACCGATGAGTTCCAGAGAGAAAGAGCCACACTGGGTTCTTCTTGTTCTGGACAGTTATCTGGAGATCTCAGTGGAGGATCCAAAAAAAAAATATTCATCAGCTTTCCAGGTGTGTCCTTTAGGGTCGAAGGTCCTGAGTCAATGCAGTAGATCCTAATGTCAGCTATGTTCCTGACTCATCTGGTTTTGCTGCTTTTCTGGGCCTGCAGTTAAAACTGAGGCCTAGATGTATTTGATGCCAGTCAGAATCTCATTGTTCTGGGGGCTTAATGTTGAAGAGTTATTCTTAGGCCTCTGTTTTCTACCTCCTCAAAGGATGTTTAATCCACATGACTAAGAACATGCCAAGGGAGGAAAGGTGAGAGAAGGGTCTCAACCACATGTTGAGTCTCAATTCAGCAGAGTCTTAATCCAACCCCTAGTCCCCTCCCCATGACCATGACACTCAGTAATATGAAAAGTCAGAGGGTCTAATCTACAAAACCAGGATATGCTTGGGGAGGAAAGGTTACCCAGGGGGCAAGGACAAAGTCCAGTTTTGCATGATGCTAGTTACCCAAGTAACCTTCCCCTACTGGCCTATTGTCCTTCTCTACTCAGGCCTAATTGCCTACTACACAAACAAGGTGTGTGTGTGTGTGTGTGTGTGTGTGTGTGTGTGTGTGTGTGTGTACGTACTTGGGGAGGAGTCACTGTGGAAGAAGGTAGAAGCCTCAGCAGTTACAGGGATTGAAAATGTAAAGGAAAGAAAAGGGGAAGCGGGAATAAAGAGAGAACAAAGAGGAACCTGAGTACAGACTCCACCCCTAGCCCATGTGACCAGGGAAGTGATCTTGGCCCAGGAGGAGGCTCAGTGCACAGAGAGGAGAAACAGCACAGCCCACCACCAGGACAGCGGTGCTTATGAGCATTTCTGGAATCCAAGCTCTTCTCACCGAGGGAGGGACAGAGCAGGCAGCAGACACCATGGAGTCACCCTCAGACCCTGCCCACAGAGGACTTGTCCCCTGGAAGGGGCTCCTGCTGGCTGGTGAGAGGGGACAACTACCTGGTTTTGGATGGGAGGAGGGAAGGCACAGGCTAGCTGGGGACTCCTGGGAAGCACATGGCTCTCAGAGAAAACAAGGGGGAGGAAGCAGGCTTCTGTTTGGACTTGGGAGGAGAAGACAGGGAAGCAGAGTAGGATTGGAGAGGGGATTCAGCAAGAAGAAAATGATGTGGAAATGATGAGGGACAGAAAAACCTCAATGACTGCTCATTTCCCAACTTACTCATCACTAAGAATTGAATGCTGAAACTTCAAATAATAACAATTTATGTGAGGAGATGGGGGATTTAACCAGAGGCAGTAAACATTGTCCTTACCACCAAGCTCAGAAATGGGCAGATACATCCCAGGAGGTGCAGGACCTTGCAACACTCACTCATTCACCCAAGGGCACTTACAGCCTGTTGCAGGCACTGGGTGTGCAACAAGTTCAGACGAGCACCTGCCCCCATGAAGCTCATGTTCAATGGGAGGAGGCAGACATGAGAAGATCTAGATGTGATGTCAGGTACCCCTTAGTGCCCTGCAGGGAACAGCCCAGGGACAGGTCAGAAAGTGAAGACAGAAGTCTTTAGAGGAGGTGATCAGGGAACGGGTCTTCCAAGGACACCCCTGAGTGTCAGCAAGGGTCTGAGGGCAGACATCTGGGCAACAGTATTCAAAACAGAGGGAATAACAGGTTCGTAGGTGCTGACGAATTGGTGGCCATGCTGCTGACCTTGACAGAGGAGACACATACACAAACACACACACATACTCTAACCAAAGCTGAGAGAAGAAGAGACCTGCTCAGGACCCATGGGCTCATCTCTCCATTTCAATACATAGTTTCAAATATTGATCAATTTCTCTCTTCCCTCCTAGCCTCACTCCTAACCCTCTGGAGCGTGCCCACCACTGCCCAGCTCACTATTGAATCAGTGCCGCCCAATGCTGCCGAAGGGAAGGATGTGCTTCTCTGTGTCCACAACCTGCCTGGAAATCTATTGGGCTACACTTGGTACAAAGGGGAAATAAGGGAAAGCAGTAAAATTATATCATATATAATATACACTCAAACAACTATCTCCTGGCCTGCATACAGTGGTAGAGAGACAATATATCACAATGGATCCCACCTGCTCCAAAACATCACTCTGAAGGACACAGGAAAGTATATCCTACAAGCCATAGACAAAGATTTTGATATCAAACAAGTAACTGGACAGCTCCGTGTATACTGTAAGTGATTGCTCTCTTACCTCTGGGTGCCGTGTGGGGTGAATTCTACTTCACACACAGGACTGACAGCCCTGGACTCCCCTCCATCCCCCTCCGAATTATCTCCCAGGTTGGGTTTGGACATTTAATGCAGGAAACACACAGTGGAGACAAACTTCCTAAGGTCAGGTTCCCTTCCCAGATTCCAGCCCTACACACATTCTCCTCAGAGAGAAGTATGATGGGAGTGACTCAGCAGAAAGAGACTCAGCAGAGTCTCAGTCCAAACCCTGTTCTCTGCCCATGACCATGACACTGAGAAAACCCTGCAGAGCTTGCTCACACCCTGGCCTGAGGGGACCCTGGAATCCTCACAGAGAAGCTCAGCCTGGGAACCCCTCCCAGATCCTTGTCCCAGGGCTTCTGACTCCAGCGAACCAGGGAGTCTGGGTCAGGTTGGGTTTGACCTCCTGGAGGGCTGGGTGGCAGCAATGGATCTACTCCTACTCACCTGCCAGGGCTCAGCCCCAAGATCCACATCAGGACAGGGACAGAGCCTAGTCCTTCAGCTAAGGCATTGTCAGAAGAGCACAGATAGACAAATACCCAGTATATTTAATTGACTCTTTTGAGGGACTTAAGAGACTCTAGAGGGAGGTCAGGTCCCCAACAAGGAACATGGGGGAGAAGATGCTCCTGACAGTTCCTTATTGACCTGGAGTCAGCCCAGGAATTCTCTCTCATGGAGGCAAATAATAGCAGTGGCCATTTAAGTCAGTGTCTCCTCTATACTGGGCCAGAGGTGAAGTACTCAGGGATGTTTTAAGGTCAATTCACAGGCAACATGGTAATCCAGAGTCCACTTAGCATTTGTTCTGTTTTTATTCAGGAGAAAGGGAGGCACAGTGTGATACAGTCATTGCATCAGGCTCACACAGACACAGCAAGGTCCTTGCACAGCCACAGCCCACCCTCTCCTCCACTACAAGGGTCTTAGGTTAGGTGCCTGTGGACCATGAGACCAGCCATTGGTTCAGTGCCTTTTCTTAGCAGTCCCAGCTCAAGGTAGATTTCCTGCTCTGGTGAGTAAGCAAATGGAGAATTAATTTTCACTCTCAAATCAAATTATCTACAATAACATTCAGAGTCAGTGCTGAGATCGCCCAGGCCTTCTCCTCAGGTTACCCATCCACCCCTCCCTGCACTGGATTTGAAACCACTTATTTGTTTTCTGATGTGTTGGCATCACTCCCACTAGCTATGAAGGAAAGGACTTTGCCTTCTCACTCTCCACCCTATACCTGCTACCAGATCAGGAACCAGCACTCACTTGCTCTTTCATGAAGGAGTGAAGAAATGATGGTGAATGATGACAGAATTAATGAATGGCACATTATTGCCTCAGAGATTGGAACATGGATGCAGAGCCCTAAAAGGTTTTAGTCACACCTGTTCCCTGTCCCTACAGGTACTGAGAGCCATGTCCATCCTTCTGACCACCTGTCCCTGAAGCCCCCTCAGGAACCAAGTCCCTTGGAGATTGTGGGCTGTTCCACTGTAAGAAGTTTTTCCAGGCTGTACTGCTTCTGCCCTGGGGCAGCTGTGGGCTCTTGGAAGTCACTCGTAACCCACTGCTCACTAAGAACATTCTGCCTCTCTTTGCTCCTTCCATGTCCCTTATTTGCCTCCTCCTTCATGCCAGATACATTGTCTAGCTCTGTTCTGCTTCCTCCACGAGGCAGTCTCCCTAGATTGTCCCGCTAACACCTGTGTCCAGGCCCACCCTCCCAGGCAATAGGAGAGGACACAGAAATCAATGGGAGCACCAACCTAGGCTCCCTCATGAGCCAGTTTCCCACGTCAACTGGAGAAAGAGCTTCTGCTGGGCCCCATCAGGATTCCTTTTCTCCATGAGGCCCACAAGAGGAACAGGCCACATGACAGGGGCATGTAGTCCATTGACCCACTCTCTACATAACTCAACCAGGGAGTCTAAGGCAGAAGGACAGGTCTGAGCCCCAAAGCTCACGGGTTCACTCCACCTCTGACTGGTGACTCACACCCTTGTCCTGCTGTGAGGTTCCCATTCCTCCCACTAGCTCTCGAGACCTTCCCCGGGTGGGCCTGGTGACCCTGCACCATCTGACTGGTTCACTGCCTGTTTCACACATGTGTGTTCTTATGAATACACCTTGACTATAGGATCGGATCCTCTCAGACTGTGAGATCCACCAACCACTCCCCTTTCCCTTAGAAGCTGCCCATTTGAATGAATATGACTCAGCTCCAGTTGTTTCCTGTGTTAGAAAGAAAAGAGGGGGGAAAAAAATGTCACATGCCATATGGGGTCTCTACTCATCTGCCTGTCCAAGGAACAGGGAGGAACCTTCTCCCTAGCTTTACTAATATGGAACAGGTCCATTCTACCAGTCTGCTGTCATCCCTCCCTTTATGTAGGAGAGACAGCTGGACTCACCCCCTCCACCCCACGCCCCTTCACCCCACTCACTTCTGTTCTCTTAGCAGAACTCACCTTCTCTCTATCCCAGGGAGTCCCTCATTTGAAACCCACTGTGGTATCTCCCTGATGTGACCTGGTTGGATGGCAGAATTTGGTCTATGACCTTTGTGTTCTCTAGACAGTAATTCCTCCAAAAACTAGCATTAGAACCTTGGGACATGAATGATTTTCACATATTCTTTCACAGTTTAACTCAAAATTGATCTCATAACTACCAAATACAAATGGACCATGAAGGGCATATTTTCAGCAAGTTCATGCTTCCCCATCTCCACAAGCCCCCCTTCTGTACTTGCTAATGTCTGTGTTGAGGAAGAATCCCTGCCCTCTGCAGTGGCACAAAGGATATTACAGACCAAGGGCAGAGAGCTTGGCTCTGCTGCCACCATCAGCCAGTTCCCGCTGTCCCTCACTCTTTTCTATAATAAATCATTCCTGGACTCTCTGCTGTGCCCATTCTGGGGTCACTGTGTCATGTCAGTCACCAACGAACTGGGCAGACAGCCACACCTCGTAGCCCGGCAGCCTGGGTACTGAACTAACAACAAGACTTGCTTCTGGTCTCCCATGTACTGTTTCTGCTCAGACACGCAGTTCAGGGCCCCGCTGCCCAGTCCTCTTGGGGTTTAAGGGCTTTGGGATGGCCAATCATTACTCATCTCTAGGTTAATCCTGAAATGTGAGGCTTCAGTGGAAACATGTCTCAACCCAGCAATGTAAGTCTGTGTAGCTAGAAGGAACTCAGCACCAGCACATTCCAGGTGAGACCCCAAGGTCAGCCAGGCAGTCACCTGGTCAGTGAGGAACCAGGACAGATGCCAGGTGGTCTCTGATTCCCAGTCCTGTGTCTCTCTATGATCAAACCCTGATAGTTGTCTGACACCTGAGAAAGCCTCTGCTTTTTCTCCCAGACATAGAGCAGGCGACCTTACAATCTCCGACGGCGCAGCTCCCCATGCATTTGTTTCTCTTGTGATGCACAGTCCTGCCTTATTTCTTTAAGATCTCTAGTTAGCTGAGAGGCACCAATTCTGATTGAAGAAGCCTTTGGAGGCCTCAATGGGCAATGTTCTCTCTGTTTTCTGCACAGCGGTGTTACCCAAACCCAGCATCACAAGCAACAACTCCAACCCGGAGGAGCACAAGGACCCTGTTGTGCTAACATGTGAACCTCAGACTGAGAACACCACCTACCTGTGGTTTATCAACAGTCAGAGACTCCTGGTCAGTGCCAGGCTGCAGCTATCCAAGGACAACAGGACCCTCACTTTACTCCTTGTCACATGGAATGACACAGGACCCTATGAGTGTGAAACCCAGAACCTCGTGAGTGCCGGCCGCAGTGACCCATTCACTCTGAATGTTCTCTGTGAGTAACTTCTGTCCCTGCCTGGACCAGACTACCCACCCAAATCCACACTGCCAGAGGCCAGACCACATTCGTCACACTCAGGTTCACATATACACACCCCGTGCTCTGAACACCCAGGGTGGTCATCTGTTCCTGGGCCAGGGACATCTTGGTCAGGCTCGGCCTTGAACCAAGACTGGGAGGGGATGGGATGCTCCTATCAGGAGAGGCTCAGAGTTAACAAGCTTTCATGGGACAAACAGGTTAATGTCTCAGACTCAGGCTCAGTGAACACAGGAGCTATGGTTGGGTCTTTTTAAAACAAGGCTGTGACCCAGCTCTGAGGGAAAGTGTGGCCCTTACACAGACCAGGAGCCTCCCCTACCCTCGATTACATCATGTGTGACTTTGTTCTCTTTACTCCAGATGGCCCGGACGCCCCCACCATTTCTCCCTCCGACTCCCATTACATTCGTGGGACAAATCTAAGCCTCTCCTGCCAGGCAGCCTCCAACCCGCCTGCACAGTATTCTTGGCTTATCAATGGGAGGCCCCTGACCACCACACAGGAGCTCTTTATCCCCAACATCACTCTGCATAATAGTGGATCTTATATCTGCCTCGCCCATAACTCTGACACTGGGCTCACAGGGGCCATGGTCAAGAATATCACAGTCTACGGTAAGTGCCTCCTGGACCATCAGCACCAGGCTGTGGGGTGCAGGGCTGTCTGGTTTTCAGGACAGAGCCTATAGGGTGCTGTCTCCCATACTGGGCCATGGACACAAGCAAATCACAAAGTCTTCCCCTGAGCCCTCCCTCTACATCTCTGTAGACTCCTCCCACTACTTACTCTTCTGATCACTCATAGCAGAGCTAGGCTCCAGCCATGGAAAGTGAGGAGGAAGTTCTCTCAGCCCAAAAGAGACAAGAGGTAGAGGGAGGGAGCTTCCCAGATGAGAGAACAAAGGTCCTCAAGGTCAAGTTGCTTCTTTTGTCACTAACACTTTACTTCTGTCATCTCTTGTCTGTTACCTGCTCCATGTGCCACAAAGAATATAACAGTCTTTGAGAAAACTCTCCTCTTTTCCACAAACTAAGGGAGGAAACCACCACTGAGGCGGGTGAGCAGGTCAGACCCCCCTGCTCCCTGAGCTATTTCAGGCTCACCTGGTGACTGGCTGCTCTGTGCCCTCTGAGGTCAGACAGGGATCTGTGGTGTTGGGGCATGGGAGGCCTATTCTCTGACTGCTCAAATCATATCACCAATCAACATCATGGCCTCCCTCAAACCAGAGAGTGAGCCACAGGGTAGACCCTTCTGAGCTATGTCCGGACTCTGAAGTCACCTGCTGTACAACACTGTGGGACACCAGTGTATGTGACATTCCTACCGAGAGCAGTGAATGGTGGTGCTAACTTGGCAAATAGGTAGATTCATGGGACAGAAGGAGCACTGCCACAAAGTGTGTAGTTTACAGAGAAAGCTAAGACTATTAGCTATTGTTAAAACTGATTACTTTTCTCTAGGGACTTTCTTCTCACTGATATCCAATCCACAGGCCAGGAAGTGAACATCCTATTCAGACAGAGAAATCCTTTAGAATGAAACTTCTCTAGGTACTAAGGTCATAGCTGGGCCATTCTCTTTCTCTAATAAATTATTTAACAAAAGGGAAATGCCTTCCCATATCTATGTGTAGCTACCATACCAGAAAGGGGGTGTGATTATTTAGAAAGTCACAGAAAGGTCTGGAAAAGAGTCAGACAAAAGTCAATGGGTGGAAAATGCCACCTGAGAATGAAGATGCTGGACACACGATATAAGGCTAATACCTCAGCTGTCCAGGGAAACAGGTCAGAGGTCACCCTGAGTTGATCTAGTCTGTCACCTAAACAAATATCATCACCCTGCAAAGGTCAGAGTCATCCTCTGGTGACCTTTACAGAGATCACTGTGGCCTGTGAGTGGCTGACATCTCTGAGGAAGGAGCCCATGCTCACTTAATCGCCTCCTCTGTTCTCCACAGAACCAGTTGGGAAGACTGCCCTCCTAGCCAGCAATGCTACAGTCACAGAGCATAAGGACACTCTGGCCCTGGCCTGCCTCACAAATGACATTGGGATCTCCATCCAGTGGCTCTTCAAGAACCAGAGTCTCCTGCTCACAGACAGGATGAAGCTGTCCTGTAACAACAGCACCCTCACCATTGACCCCATCTGGAGGGAGGGACGCTGGGGATTATCAGTGTGTGGTCTTCAACCCAGTTAGTTCCAGATAAAGTGACCCCTTCAGGCTGGATGTGCAATGTGAGTGACCCTCGACCTCTCCTACTTGCTTTTGTATATTTCACTGGCAGGAGGGTGAGATGGATGAAAGCCTTGAGGAGGTGGGAGCTTCCTTCAAAGCCTATAGAACATATGGATAAGGACCCCAGGATTAGACTAATCTCGTCATTGTCTCAGTTTTATGAGTACGGGAAGACTGACCACGGGGAAGGCTCTCACCCACCTGAGCCTCAGTTTCTGCATCTCTAACCTGGAATAAAACAGTTGGACCTAAACACTGTTGTTAGGATATTTATTGTGAGGTTAATAAGTACAGCCTTCAGCCAGGGCCATGCTCAGTGTATCAATTATTTTTGGTATTTTTATGCAGGCTGTAAAGTCAAGCAGATCTCAGTGAAAATGTCATTTATCACTCACCAGCTCTGTGACCGCCAGCCATTTATTAAGCACCTCCCATCCCTGATTCTGTTTGTGCTCATGGGGGTGATACCACCCATCCCTTGTGGGGGTGGAAGGACCAAATGACAAATTCCCACCCTGCCTGTACCATCAAAAACACTCAGCACATTCTTATTACTCATCAGCACTGAGGTGGCAGGTAAGTTGCCCACTAAGACTGTCCATTGTGATGAAAAAGAATAGGGATAAGAGACAAAATATGTGAGGGTAAGAGGAGTTAAGAGAAAAATTACCAGGACATGGGCATAGTTGGGTGAGAGTACATGCAAAGGTAGAGCAAATGGAAGGTTTTAAATGTACAAAACAGAGAATGATGTAGCCACCGGAAGTGGGGAGTCAGGAGGACAGACACTCCCAAACCGCACAGACTAGTTAGCAGTTTCTTCCTCCTTCACCAAGCCACCCCTACAAGGCCTCTCCTGGTTTCCCCTGAATGGACTTGGGCCTTCTATCCTCCCCCTTTCCCTTCTCCTTTCAGCAGAACAAACCTACAGGGACTACTCTGTGGGAACCATCATTGGCAGTGTGATCGGAGTCCTCATCGTGGTGGCTCTGGGGGCCTTCCTGGGCTATTTCCTGTATCTCAGGAGGACTAGGAGGTACATTCACCCTCATACTAATTCTATCCCCTGACCCAGGCTGACCCCCAACAGAGCCCAAGCCAGGAGGACAAAGAACCCATTCTCCGAGGGTTCTGGACCTGCTCTCTGTAGCCTCCCAGATTCCCTACGGATGTCCTTAACTCTTTCCATCCAGCTCCTCCCTCAACAGCTGCCTCACCTGTAAATGAGGCACAATTAAGAAACTGTCCTTTCAGGACTGTCCTGGTTATCTCCACACACCTGAAGCAGTGCAGGCAGTGCTCAGTAAGGCACCTTCTGTTGTTTATCTAAGTCCACCCTCCCAGATGAGGGGATGGGTTGCCTCTACATAAGACTTGATCTGAAAGTCAAACTGGCCAAGGCCACACAGCTGACAGTGGAAGAGCCTGGACAGGCAGGATTGGGTCAAATGCCCCCACAAAGAGGGTTTGGTAAACACAATCCTGATATGTGAAACTGGAATATAGCAGGGCCTGTGGTATAGTTTTTGCCTCTATGTCAGTTGGATGGAGGCAGGATAAGCCACTCTCACAGTGGAGCTCTGTAGGCTTGAGGGGTGGGTCTGGCCACAGCAGGGCACCACGCTCATCCGGATGCTACATGAGACTGGCACTGCTATCCCCTTGACTTTTCCACTAAGTCAGACCCTCTGGATGGATTCCTGTCCTGGTTCCTCAGTGTCCTCCCTGTTACTCCTCCCAGAACCCCTTCTGCCTTTGGGTCCTTCCCCTCTGGCCCAGCTGTGGATCCTTAAGGCCTTGCCTCAGTTCCCCTCTTCTGGGTCCATCTGCCCGAAATAGTGGAGAGAGGCCTCCACCCTCTGCTGGGAAAGGAGACCCTCCCTGCCCCCTGTTGTGACACCAAAGCTCCCTGCACCCTTCACAAGTAAGTCTGACCTTTCCCAGGGCCAGTGACCCGCGTGATCCCCAAGAGCACCCACCTCCACCAGCCACCCCTGGTGAGTGTCTATTCAGCCGGGATCCCCTGGGCCTGCCCCAAATGACCACCCCTGCCCTTGTCCCTCAGGCTCTGACCCTTCCCTGGGCTTCAAAAGGATTCTCCTCACCACTCTGCAAAGGGGACCCCTACTCACCAGTCAACCTAACGTGTAGGCTGTGTCATGTGTCACCACTGCTCCTACACTGGACCCTGAAATGGCAAGAGGCACTTGCCCTGGGAGATGACCTTTCACCCTTGGCTCTTGGGTGATAGTACCACCCCCTCCTGGGAGAACAGGCTAAAACTTCCTCCCCCTGAGTGCTAATGCCTTCTGTCTCTGCTCCCAGGCCAGGGTCCCACTGGAACCTCTGCCTTCCGGGTAAGTCCATCCCCTTCCTGTTCCCTCATCCAGGGTGTCAGCCACTCACCCTCAGGACAGGGACACCATCCACACTCACAAAATGGCACAGACCTTTCCCCAGAACAGCCAGCAGGGGAGCCCCGCCCTGGCCTGGTGAGGCCCCCAGTCAGGAGTGGACAGGGCAGGGCCAGAGTCTGAGGGAAGCACTGGAGTCCAGCACGGAGCAGAATGGGCACTGGGAGCACCAGTCAGAGATCCCAGGCTAACAAGGGTGAGGGGGTGTAGTGTGGGCTGAAATTGGGTTCTGAGCTACAAGTGTGAAGACAGCTACTCAAAAGGCAAAGCGGCCCTTTGTTCCTGTCATCTGATACTTCTCTCCCCTCTGCACAGGGCCCCCTACCTAACACCAAGACAGCAGGCCCTATCTACCAGGTGAGTGTGGGGAATGAAAGTTCTGTCCTGCAGGTCCCAGAGGAACTAGGACCTGCCTCCAGTCCAGCCCTGGCTGTGCTTCCAGCTCAGAAAAGGGCAGTGAAAAGTGACAACAGAGGTTGAGAGGAGGGAAAAGCCTGGGAACAGACACCCAAGCACAGTCAGTCCCCATGGTGCCTGTGAACCATGGCACTTGTTCTGAGAAGGCTGCAGCGCTCAGAGATCTCATCTTTCTTTGACAGGAATTACTCAAACCAAACACCGAGGTGTACTGCCGGATCAGCCCCAGATTGGACGTGGCTTCTTAGTTCCTCCAGGACCTGAGACCCCAGACACTGTGGGGGGACTGTGGAGGAGAGTCAGGAACTGGATGTGTCTGTGCTAGAGAACCAGCTCTGAGCATCATGCTAAGTGAAATAAGCCAGTGAGAGAAAGATAAATATCACATGATCTACATTATATTGTAGAATATAATGAACAACATAAAATGATAAACAAAAGAGAGCAAGAGGTGGGAAAGTATTTTAGAATATAATAGTAGCAATCCTGTTATTGGTAGATTTTTAATATTTCCTATAATGTTTGTGATATCATACTAT